ACTAGTTCGTTTTAGCGTTATCCCTCAGTGATGGTATTTGCTAAAACTTTCCCAAAATATCAGAGAGGAGGCGTGGCCTGGGCGGAGCCAATGAACTGTTCCACAAAATTAATGATTTCTTCGAAAAAAAAATTTCTAGATATTCCTGGTCAATTCAATACATAGATATATTGCCTGCATATATGTTAGTTCTGTTAACAAGTTCTATCTCAAAAAAAGAATGCTGTTTTAGCAACTCCCAGAACCCGTCGTTACTTATAATAAGCCAAGTAAAAAATTCATATAAATCAATTCAATAGTATATATATATATTCTTAGTTACCCAAGCTTGCGACACTGCGCAACTGCGCCGTATATACGCGGATGTGAAGCTGGTTGAGCATGATTGAGAAGTGATGACGACTCCATGCGGTTATCGAACAAGAACGCTTCGCGAAAGTGCGACCGCAGTGATGAGAAATACTTTTTCCTTGATGTAGACTGCTTCTCCTTCTGAGTCTCGTGCGTCGCATTATATTTCATCAATACAATTAATTTGGAAGCCTTTCGACGAATTTCCTCAAGCTGGTGGGAATAGTAAGACTTTGGGCCTCTTCTTTTGTTGTATATCTCTCCCACTACACCTTGACCGAGATAGACAGACTTTGTAGTTCAAGTCTAGGGGTGTTGTCTTATCGTGCTTTTATTTATAAGCGTTGAAGATAGGTCTAATGATCAATTATCGACTTTCATTTGTTCAACTCACCTTTGACGCCGGAGGGGACGCAACTCATTGCCATTCATCGTCGACATCGACGAGATTGACATTACCTTAAATTGTCATCATGACGCAAATGAGAGTTGCAGGAAGATAATAAAAAGAGGAATTCCCAGATTAGAAAAAAGTTCAATTGTCAACATAAGCACCTTGATTTCTAGAGAAGAAAGTAGTCCTTATCAGTGATTTTGTTGCCGCTAGATGATAACGGGCGTTTATGGAACTGATAAGATAATTAGAAGCTTTACAATGAATTTGAAATCAGACCTCATATACTTTATTTCTAAAGCATAACATTTTGAAGTTACAAAAAGTTTAAGTACAGTTAAATGAAATAAAGACTACATTTTAAAGGATCTTCGGATATGGACGTTGATAAGTCATCCTTTGCTTAACAAAGAAATATGTGGGCAAATCACGAACATCTAATCAGGATTTTTGATTCATCATTCCAAAAATGACTTCTCATTAGCGAAACCTTAAAACAATAAACTTTTACTTGCTAGTATCTATTTTACTTAAGCTAAAGGCAAAAATTACCTACTTAGATACTTAGATGGCCTGCCTTACTCGTACAGGTCCAAACATTGTTTCCATCCGTTCCTGCCTCTCGCAGCGTCATCTACGATGTTGGTATTGAAGTGCGGTGGCGACGTGCGAGGTCCAGGTTCATTACATTGAGAATTCAGCTGGTTCATCCGCGCAACGAACACGTCAGCCCATCTGGTCGGTGGCCTTCCTCGAGGAC